TGGAAAGCGCAAGTGTGATGCAATGCACAAATTGGCTCACAGCCGATTCGATAGTGCCGCTAAAGTAGATGCAGTATTTTTCTGTGAGATTTTTTTCTCACGCTTTACAACTGCGTAGTGTTTAAAATCTTCTACGTGTTAGCTAGCCAACCACCCACATATACGTTCGTTTACCTCAGAGTTCCTAACAAGTTTAAAGCAGCGGACAATGTTTTCTATGTCTAACTGCGAGCAGCTCATTCTCGCTTCTCATGCTGTTAAAGGCGTCGTCCACCCAAATTCTCGACTAACATATTCGTTCTGGGGCTTTCACATGCCCGTGGTGGGCGGGCGTTACCGGATGAGCGGTGCCACCTCGATCCTCCTCCCTCTTCGTTGTTTCACAGCGATTTACTCGCTTTCGAAGCGCAATTTCGCAAGCTTTTGTTTGATAGGGGCCAGACTATTGTAGGCTGTCAAAAACTCAAAACTTTTAACTTGGAGTGAACGGTGCCAAGTTGGAGTTTGTATGACATAGATAGGAGAGACAAACTTGCAGCAGCAACATACGCGCTTCAATGCAGCTACTGTAGTTGTCGCTGCGGCTTCTGCTGTCGCTGCAGTCAGTGCGGTCAGACCAGTCCATTGCGCTTTGTGCTGTAGTTTGAAACAAACTTTATCACCCTATTTCTAATACAGTAAATGAAATTGTTTCAAACTTTGACGATTGCAAAATATCGGTTGCGTTGCAAAGTGACAAGGCTGTGGTATTTTGGTGCTACAAGCAGGTTTCTTGCCTATCGGAGTTGTGCTTAGTGTATATCGAGGACTGTGTAGATAACAGTGGTAGTCCACGTTTTGTCTGCCGATTTGCTACATATTTTTCTAATTGCTCTGGCATCAACATCATCATTTAATGTCTTCGTTTTGCTTTCAATAATTTCGCTTTCAAAATAACAAACATCTTGACAAATGTATGCGTAGCTGAAGTTTTAAGCGCTATTGTCAATGTTGCGATCCTTTCAATAATGTCCTTTCAAAAAAAACAAACAATTTGACAAATGTTTACTTAGCTAAAATTTTAAGTGCTATGTTCAATGTTTTGATCCTTGCTTCATGAAACGAACTCATGCAAAAAAAACAAATTGAAAAAATCTCTGCGCTCATTTCAGTTGAAATTTGGAGTCTTTTTGCCCTATTTCTTAATACTTTCGTCCTGAAACTCCCATTTGCAAAACGCTTCTTGGCTGTTGCACTCACCATGTGTCAACTAATTCTGTCGTATGTTTCAAACAATAAACTACGTCGATTATTAGGTTCTAAATCAAACTATTTACCGTGTTTTCTGCAAGTATCTTTCACAAAGATTTATTCTCTGTTATTTACAAAAATTTTGACTTTTGAACTATCACATTGGCGCATATCATCCCATCTCTTCTTCCCATTATTTTTTTTCCAAATGGCAGCTTGCATTATATGACCTACATTAGTTAGCGCCGTTTTAGCACAAAAATGCTCTATAGCTAAATTTGTCGTACTGAATTCCATCGAATTTTCGGTTTTTATAAGGAACTAGCTGGCTTACCCGGCTCCGCCGTATGTTCCGAATAGAAAATTCTATTTCTTAACCGATACGGACCAAACTTGGCACACATACCCTTCGGGCCCCGGCGGGTGTCACAGTCCACTTTTCGTTATCGATCGATGTCGATTTTATCGATTTTTTGCATCAGCATGCTCGATTACCCCCCTGTGCCAAATCCCAGCCCCGTAGCTCAAACTTTGCAAAAAAAATCGATAAAATCGATAAAAGTAATGCACGATTTTAAAAACTAATATTGTATTCGGAATCCCCATGCTCACTTACCCCCCTGTGCCAACTCCCAGCCCCGTAGCTCAAATTTTGCAAAAAATCGATAAAATCGATATCGATCGATACGAAAAGTAGCCTATGACACCCGCCGGGGCCCGAAGTGTATGTGTGCCAAGTTTGGTCCCGATCGGTTCAGAAATGGAATTTTCTATTCGGAACATACGTACAGACATACAGACAGACAGACAGACAGACAAACAGACATTCAGCTTTATATATAAGATTTGGGTATTTTTCCGTTATCCGGAACCTTTTCATGAAAGGCTCTCATACATTACGTTCTTTAGTCTAATGATAATTTTTCATAGAATTCTACGAGGACTTCTCCCTTGCCCTTCACAAAAAATTGACACCTTGTGTTCTATTTTAACATGTTTCTTTCGAAATCATTTCAGGTAAGAAAGAGAATTCGAAATCACCTAAAAGCTGTTCAGCTAATTTCTAAAAAGCAAAACAATCTTGAACCTATTTTAGGACATCTTGATTGCCTTTAACAGTGATTAAAAAAAGTCTATTTCTTCGAACGCTTTTCGCGTTCTTAGGCAGGAAAGAAAATAAAGATTTTGAAAAGCCTTGCTGTTGCTGCTGCTTATTTCGTTTGAATGACAAGACTTTAGCGCGCTTTTGTAATCTAAGCAAGTCTAATCTGTTCATCGATAATTGTTTGAGACATCCAGATCACTGTGCCAATTCTTTTTTGTAGAAGAAATCAAATAAAACTATCTCTATGCTTTAACTAATAACTGGGTTCCATTTCGAAATATTAGGTTGGCACGAAAGTTCTTGCGTAATTCAAACAAAAGTCAATAACTTTTCAACAACTGAGCCTAAATTCACACTCTTGTCCTCTAAAAATATTAGAAGGCTTGCTCTCCATGATGGACGTTTAACCACAAAATTCCTTGAGCTAGCCCCCGAGAACGAAGCTCTCAAATATGGGGCTTCAAATTTTACGATTTTGAGTTTGGCGCCAAAAAATCGCAGAATGCTGCTAGCTAGCCGAAAAAAACTCTGTAGATTACTTACACAGTAGAAGTCCATACGTTATTTTAGCAGGCTTTGATCACGCATGGAAATGCGAAAACAAAAAACGAATTTGTCATTTTACAGGATAAATTCCTTTATCGTTGTAATCTTTCCGCAAAAACACAGTTTGCAACCAGAAATAAGACATAGTGCCTATTTTAAACTTGGCGACGTTTTTTGGAGTGCAAAAAAGTGTTTTTGCCGAAAAACTGCAGTAATGAGGGGATTTTTTTCCGCAAAATGACTTATTTCACGAAATCTTTGTTTTTGCTTCACCGTACAAGATCAAAGCTTTCCAAAGTAACATATAGACTTCTGCTGTGTAAATGAATTCTACGGATTTTTTTCGGCTAATTAGCGGCACTCTGCGATTTTCTGGCACCAAACTCAAAATCGCAAAATTTGAAGCCCCATATTCGAGAGCTTCGTTCTTGATGTCCAGCTCATGGAATCTTATGCTTAAACATCCATCATGAGGCGCAAGGCTTCTAATATTTTTAGCATACAAGATTGTAAATTTAGGTTTAGTCTTTGAAAAGTTATTGAATTTTGTTTGAATTACGCAAGAACTTTCGTGCCAACCTAATATGTCGATAAAAAGTAGCATTGCGAGTGGGGGTTTCTTCATCTTAGGCAGACTTCGCTGGAATGGGTCCTATATTTCAGACGCGCGCGCATACTCGCATATACACTTTAACCCATTGACGACTACGCCTAATTTTGAATGGCGGCGCTGTGGGACGACGCGATTTTGCACACATTTTTGGCATGGGAAAGTTTTGTGATTATTTACGAAATGTAAAGTCATTTTGTAAGCAACTACGATCATCTTCTTGGACGACAAAGTCTACAGGTTCCAAAAGTGCAAAAATTGGAAAAGTACTGAACTGTGAAAAAAGACTAGGCCTGCAAAGGATATGACTTTGCAAGGGGTGTGGGCCACCAGTGGCTCACATCGTCGACAATGGGTTAAAAACTTTTCGAATATTGTACCAATCTGGAACCAATGTTGATTGATTCAGGGCAGACGAAAGACCAATGCCCACATCTTATGAGCAGGCGTATGCTTTTCCCTTATGATTTTGTGCAAACATTTGTAGAGCATGCATATGCACGATTAGACCCTATGAATATTGTGCAATTGTTCAATTAGTTGACTCCAGCATCAAAATATTCTTAATTCACGTTATCGTTTCGGAGATATGGAAGACTGTATTCAAACCAGCACTAAAAGGCGCATTTTTTGACTTACAAATCATTATGAGCATATCAGTCATGGTCAGTCATCAGTCATGGTACCAGAACCTTTCCCTTGTTAGTTTTTTTTGAGACGCTAGTATCGACTAATTTCGATTCTAGCAAAAAAAATTCAGAATAGAAGAGCTATATTTAGTATTTTTTAAAGACAGTCGAAAACGCTAGCAAATCACTTATGTAGATTTAACATTGCTTTAAGAAAAACACGAGAGTTCTCAGGTTTAAGTCAAGGAAGAGTACAGCAACTGTAAATATGAATGTCTTTTGACAGTATAGATGTGTGCGAATGAGAAGTCCTTGAACATTTTCTTGACGGAGACCCATTTTCCGTTTCTAAGAGCATTCAGAACTTATCAATTTTATTAGGTTGGTGATAAATAGGTTTGGTCGTTTTCAACGGCTTGTAGTTATTGTCGATAATTGATTTATGATGGTTGTATGGTAGTGTTGAAAGAGCAAATCAAGGAGAACCGGAGGGTCACTTTGTATATCTAGAAAAAGAATTTTGTGACGAATGTGCAGGAAGAAATACACTCACTTTTTTTCACCAGTTTTTCGAAAAAACGTGCTCCGAGAAAGGAACTGAAGCTGGGTATGAATTGTAAATTTATACCCCACATGACAATTTCGCATTTTTCACCATTTGCATGGTTGTAGATGGTCAAATTAGAACGATCTGGATTTCTCAAAACTAACATCCAAATGCTTGGAAATTCTCACATTTTTGGCTGCAGAAATTCACAAAGCAGCAAACAATCCTCATTGTGTTCACCTGTAGTCAAAAATTGTATGTATTCGATTTGCTCATGGTTAAACTCACTACAGGCTGAAATCGAGATTTAGAATGTCAAAAAAGTGGTTTTTTAGACTGGCCATATGAGGGCATAAGTGGTTCCGGTGACTGTACCTTCACCCATTGCAGTAGTGGTACTTTGATGGTCTCACATTTTTTATTGTGCAGATACTGCTGGAAGTTCAGAATTTGTCGGAGTTACTAAGTTTGCATTTCAGCAAATATAAAAGTTATCAGGTATGCAATTGACCTTATATGGGTACTGCCTGAAAGAGGATGACATATTCTAATATCCATCAAAATTTGGTAGTTCAGTCGCTTCTCTTTCTTGAAAATCTACAGTTATTCTCAAGGTGTCCCATTTTTTACCGTCACCCTAATAGAACTTGCTTGCTCTCTCGAGCGTAACCTCATGCATTCTGTGGTTCATCTGGGTGCGGTGCCATAGCAAGCAAATAAAAAGCGACATTATTTTCTTGACAACCTAATAAAAGCAATCTGTGCAAAATGCTAGCACTTCTCTGACAAATGCTTGAAGATTGCATTATGGGAGCATGATTCATTGTAAAGAGGATTGAAAGTGCAATGTGCGAGCCAGAAAATGTGCAAAAACTCTATAACAGCTTGACTAATGGACTTGAAGCCTAGCAAAAAAAAGTAATTTCAGGTGGAATAAAGCAAGAAACACTTATATTACAAGGCTGTGCTTTTTGTAAGGCTTGCGTCAAGTTAGTTTACAAAAACCTATGAAAGTTCTAGTTTGCTTGAGCACATGCGTCCACCTAAACTCTTATTATGCTGCTTTAAATTGTATTCACAAGCAATGCTCAATTCAATTTTTTTTCTAGCTCAATTTAGCATGAAAAAGTTGGAAGAGTGAGTAAATTCGATATTTCCCGAAAACTAGGCGTGCAGCTAATCACGTCTGCACTTTCAAGAGCTTGTGGTACACAAGTGATAGGATAGTGTGGGAAACTTGTGAACATGTTTCTAGATTTTTTAAAGAAAGTTTCGTTGAAAGGCTAACAGTCCAATTAGAATTGCGAGGAACGTAGAATCTCCTTTAGAGATATTAATTCACGCAATCGACTTTTTGGTCAAAATCCTTCTTTTTGGTTGTTTTGTCAGAATGTTTTAGAATAGCTTTCAGGTTCCAAATATTGTGTGAGATTTGCGGTGATAACTAAAGGATGTACAAATGTATCAAAATTCTCAACGTATTTGGATATATGATTGCTTTATGTAAGTTAATTTTTAATCAATTTTTTTCAGTAAGTGTACGATGACATTGAAGGCAAGCAGTAAAACTCTGATATGCCTTTAAAACGACGACGAAAACCAAAGCCTTTGAAATGTTCCCAAAAGATTCAAAAATTCACCGAATTTGAAAACGAGCAAAGCAAAAAATAAGAAGACATTACCCGCTTGCCGAAAAATCGTCAAAACTAACTGCCTCACAAGAGAATGTCAGCGCGCAAATGTGCCAAAAATCGTGGTATCGCAATGCTTATTTCAAAGAAAAATAGCAATTGCACGATACCCTGAATTTCTACTTACTGATCAGCATTGTCTCAACGCAGCAAGTTTGAAGGGTGTTTGAGAAGTTTATGGTCTCAGAGCTTCTATGGATTCTGACTCGATTTTGTCTAAATGTGTTCGCTAAACCTACCTAGAGACCATTAAATCTACAAAGAAAAAAAATTTTATGTTCAATGATACTGCAAAAAATTTGAAGGTGAATAATTTTTTCAGCTTCCCCAGAGGAGCGGAAAAATGCATCATCTAATTTGTTCTACTTTTTCCAAAGCCGGTAAATGAAAACAACTTTGCGTTTTTTATTGCAAATCCCAGGTCTACACTTTCATTAACTTATAAGAGAAAGATGGTCAGTCAAACTGGCCTTTTGCGATGGTTTGTATACGATGTTGCAGGGTAATGTTGATTCCAAATCTGTCCTCCTTATCTACTGAGCGTTCCTGAACGAGGAGTTATAAGCGTTTGAAGGAGTAAAAAAATGAATTTTTACTGGGATAAAAACAGTTGCAAAAATTTTCCCAGCGCTTGAATGAGCAGCTGTACTGTGGATTTATCTCATCTAAGAGTATTTATTTTATAAAGGGCTGGAAGGATTACCACTGGTTCATTTGAACATTAGGAAAACCGTTACTACTGCATTTCGTGCCCTCCAACATGGTATACATTCCATCTCAAAAGGCTACTTTGAAATCATCCTTCCCTTGTGAGTTGGTTACAGATGTTTTCGGTCTTTTTCAAGAGTTTGTAGAATTGTCACAGAGTGCTGTAGTCGTTGAGTAAATGAAGGTGAAATAGGTTGCTCGCCCCATGAAAATTTGTGTCAATCCGGAAATTTGATGTCTCTTAAACGTCTAAGAGAATTGCAGTTAAATTCTATGCACATTTAAAAGGTCAAAAGCTGTCATGAGGCTGAATATGAACTCAAGAAGGCCACAATGACTGGCAGACCGAGAGCATGAAGCGCATTTGTCATAATGTTTTCACTGCTCTCAACGCTTAATATGAGCTTACGCTGCATGCCCTTTTATAAACTTAGTGAAAGTTTTGGAACTAGGATCAAGCGTGGGGTGTGGCATGCCCAAACCTGGGGTCGCATTGAGGCGTCAAGGGGGGGGGGGAAGGGTCGTTAACGAAGTGGTGATTAAGTTAGCAATAACATTCGTTAAAATGTCAGATAGGCATTATGCAAAGTACTAGCACATTGATGGTTTGACCTAGCATTGCATACGTACAGTAAGCATAATGAAAAAGCCCTAAAATAATAGAGCATCATTTTCGCAATCAGGATATCAAATATGTGGTCCAAATTCCAGCGAGTTCTATGGTCTTCAAAGGTTTTTTATTAGGCCATCTAACTGGGATGGTCATTTTCGAACACGTTAACTTTTTCAAAGGTGAGCTACGTCTTTTTGCTGCTACTACAAGGAAGTGCTACCTCCTTGCTCGCAGGAATCCCACACTAAATAACCTTCATACTATGAAATTAAGAGCACACCAAAGTCTCGTTTGTCACCTTTTTTGCACTTGAATGCAACCGTGATCCAATATTTTAGCAGTGTATTCCGTTTGTATAGGTGAGGAAAAACGACTGTATATTTTCCTAGGAGAAACGGTCTTGAGTGACAGAGTAGACGATTTCTGAATATGAGAACATCGTCGATTCAGCTAGGCGAGATACATCATCCAGTATGTAGAAGTGCCGCAATCTGGGTAAGTATACGGTAGGCGGTGAATTTTCGCTCGATTTTGCAGATTTTTGTTCGGTTAGATGTGCTGATAACAATATCGTAAATTCCATAGGAATCTTTTAAACCTGATTTGCTTTGCTCTGAGTAAAAGTTGGTAAAAGCACAGCCATTAAAAGCGAAAAATGGGAAAAATGAGATTTTGGTTGGCTTCTAATTTCACAGTTTAGAGGTCTTTTGAAGCGGGATTTCTGAGATGGACAAAGAAGAGGTAGTGCCTTGTTTTGAGGGCAAAAGCAGCTAGCTATTTCACTTTTGAAACAAAGTTAATCATGCTGGAAAATGACAATTTCACTTAGGTAGTCTAGTATCTTGAATCTTCAGAATTCGCTCAAACTTTGTCTACGGGGGTTAATTGACATGCTCATTATGGATATGTTGCCCATTATGTTTGACAGGGCCTTCAGGTAATGCTATCTTAGGTATATAAGTCAGGGTGGGGGTCTTATTAAGACAGCAATCAAGGGGGGGGGGTCGTAACCAGCGATCATTGCCAAACCCCTTGCTTGACCCTGATTATTACACTTATTATACACAGCTAAATTAAGTAGGCGCTAAGTAACAATGTCAACTGTACTCTACAGCATGAGTTATAATAAATATTAGCTACTATGGAACAGAAAGTGACCTCAGGATCACCGCTGTCGATGTTGGTAAAATGCATATCCTTAAGGGCCCGGTCAGACTTCACGCGACTTAATCGTCGCGATCTAATCGCCAAGATTTCCATTCATTTTCATTTCACATTCAAAAATGTCGGGCTGGAAAAGTATCACAACCGAATGCAAGTTGATCGGCATGGAATGATGTTGTAACAGTTGTCTCGTCGCGACTCAGTCGCGACGATCAAATCGCGTGAAGTCTGCCCGGGGCCTAAAGCGCCTTGATAAGGATATCTACCATCTCCAGCTGCTGATCGAGTCTCTGAGAAAAGTTATGAACGGTTGGAATTATGGAGTTGTTGAGATTTTACGTCTGCTTATTGTAAAAGTTACCTTCATTTATGGCAAAGATCTAAAATCCCCGGCGAGAATTCCGTTTCCATTTACATAACTTTGTTAGAGTATATTGTAGATAAAGCTGACATGTCTCTATAAAATTTTCAACGTGTGGCTAAATTTGTTAACACCTCAGCAGCTGTCCACCTTTGTCATTATTTCACGATTCCATGCCATAAGATTTGCATGAAATTTTCATGCATTTGATTGATTTAAACAAAATATCTAGCTTTCAGATGGCATCCTAAATCTCTTTGAAATTGTGAGGTTTCACCTGAGCAAAAAGCTTGCAGCTAAGAGCTCAGCAACCTATGAAATAAGCTTCACAAACTTTACTCAGTACTACGAATACATATTGTTGCCGAGCTCTTCAACCTTATCTTCATGTCTCAGAAACGGCGGACAGTAAGTATTCTATCAATACTTTTTCTTTTTTGTTGCTGATACATTCTGAATATACAATGCAAGCTTGTCCATTGTCGTGATTATGTAATGTAAAGTTCAAGCAACTTTTAGTTGAGCCATCATTTAGTTATGGAATGTCCACAGGTTGCCGGCATTGCCAAGGTTGCTGGGGTTGCCGGCGCTGCCGGGGATCAGAGACAGCTTAGAGAGCGTGGAAATTATCACGAGGTCCTAAACGACCGGCAACGTCGGCAACGCCGGCAACCTCGGCAACCTCGGCAACCGTTGCCGGCAACATGACCGTTGCGTTATAATGGAATCAAGTACTTTCTAAGACGTACAGGATTTACGGCAGAGCTTACATCTTGAAACATACATATATCTAACCTCAAATTAACACATTGACCACAACGTGCATTTTTAGTTGTCTGCCTAAGGAACAATGCCTTCCATGGATAAGTCAGAATTTTTAAGCTAAAATGATGCATATGGTCAACTACAGTATACCTACAGTAATTCCGTGAAGAGGCGAGGTATGCAAAAGCTAGGGTTTCCTAAGGTCAGAACGTAAGAGAACTTCTGAGAACAATTTACTCCAAGACAGCAGTCGTTTTAACAAAATCTAAGCCATGACCCGCCATGTGAGTCACGTTGTCGTTCTTCCCAAGCTTGACATTCGAACAGGCCTATGGTATTGCTGCTGCCAGAAACCTCAAGAACAAAGTCCTCGTTGCTTCGCGAAGAAAAGTCAGAACAGAAAAAAACATCTATGATGCAAAGAGGAGAATAATGTTTGCATTTTCCGCATTGGCAGCAAGATGTGTTCGCTGTCCACCAATTCAGACAATCGCCGGGAGCAGGCGGGCACCGGAAAATAGATTGCTGATCTCTCGCACCCCGCTCGCGGATTTTTGGAAAGCAATCAGGAATTTTCGGAAGACCGCTTGCTGAGTTTTCGATTCCTCAGAGATTCAGCAATTTATCTGCAAAAGATAAGAGCGAAAAAAATTCAACAGGCGGTCTCTCAAAAATCCGCTGACTCAGCAAGCGGTCTTCCGAAAAGTCCTGATTGCTTTCCAAAAAATCCGCGAGCGGGGTGCGAGAAATCAGCAATCTATTTTTCCGGTGCCCGCCTGCCCCCGCGATTGTCTGAGAAGGTGCTAGCCGAAATACCGCCGCCATAATTTCTGAGTGAAGGCTACAATCAGTGGGAGATAGGGAGATTTGAGGCGATTCAGGAACTAGTCTGTAAGGTTTGAAGGCAGCGTCCAGGCAGATCTGGACTCATGGGGATTTTACATGACAAGCACTTTTGGGGCCTACCTAAGGCACTGCCCAAGCGGCAGCGCAGGTAAAGTCGGCTGCACGAAATCGCCCGGAAATCTGTAAGCGAAACGCGCTCGCGGGTGATAGGCGCGCAGCTGCTGGTTTGGCATGCGCACTGTGCTTAGCGTTGGCGCTTTAGTGTTCTAACGGCTGAGATATTCCCCTCGAAACTGTCCCCGCGATCGTATTCGCATGGATTCATGGCAGTTTCGCGCCAGGATCCACGCTTTGCGCCATGAATCCATGCGGAATACGATCGCATGGAGGGAATATCTCAGCTGTTAAAGCATTGCTTGAGCTGCCGGTTTTTGCCGTGGCTTAGTTAAGGCCCCAAAACTACTATCCACGTGAGGAGATCCCCATGTGTCCCGACTTGCCTGGACGCTGCCTTTAAGATTTGCGTAATATTAGTGTAAAACACGAATGCTATATGATGAAAAGGAAATACCACCACTTGTATTTTTTCATCGCAGCAGGTCTCGCGCCTGTGGCTTCAGGTAACTTAACTTCGAAAAAGGTTTGCCATGCTTTAAATTCGCAACTTTTTCATTCTTTTTCATAGTTGTTCCAACTCAACATGGCGCACACATACACCAAATTCGGTGTCGTATCCTTTCTTTTCATTGCAAATAAGCATTCTTTTCTGCTTTGAGGCGTAATTTCATTTTCGCCCTTCCACGAAGAGCCTATTGATTGTTGGGATATGTGTATATGAGTAGCTTATTAAAGGTTGTTGGCAAGGCTCGGCACGAGCTGGCACCAGGGAAATTTCAAAACGAAGTCTCGTTTGATATTGAAAAGTTCGTACGGAATCTCTTTTGACCTGTTTTGAAAACCCGTCATCATTTTTATATTATGTAAAAAATGTAGTGGTGTTTTCATGCATTTCTGATTCCATGAAGGAACTTTTCACGGCTTTCTGAGCTTTTTAAGTGGTCGAATCACATCTTGAGAAGCAGATAAAGCCGATTTTTCGACTGCGGAGCGGACCGAGTGGTTTTCAAATTGTTATAAAACGCTGAAAAGAGAACATTATGAAAGTTTTTTCTCCGTATGCAATCTTTCACAGTGTAAATACATTTTATGTGAAAAAGTATGAAAACTTATGTGGGCAAAGTGTCGGTGTCAGCTCAGCTGGCACCCAGCTGGCACGGTGCCAGCTAATTCAGAAAAAAATTCGACACAGCTTTCATTCACATAAGTTTTCATAAATTTTTGGCCCGTAGTTCCGGTCCACCAACACGCATGCACGCACCAAATTTGGTGTCATACTATTGCGTTTTGGCTGAGAACAACGCCTCTGTTTGTTGATGGACAGCTTGTCAATGGCATGCCGGTGGCATGCCGGCGGCATTTTTGCGACAGTTTTCCGCCTCGGCCCCTGTAGAAACGATATCCCCTTTGCCTTCCGCCCTAAAAACGATATCCAGCTTGACCCGGTGCCAGCTGTGCTAGCCCTGGTTGTTGGTCTTGCAGAGAACAGGATCGGTGAGGAGTGATGGGCGTTTATAGAGTATGAATAAGAAATGGGAATTGAGGGAGGGGGAGGGGGAGGAGAGATTGTTGGGAATATCTGTATACTAGCTGGCTTACCCGGCTCTGCCCGGCCTTGTCAAAACACTATGATGAAGCTCCCATTCCTATCCCTGTACAATCTTTCCCTGTGCCCACTTCTACATGCCAACTCCAACTCCCTTTCCCGCTGTGTTAGATACCAGCATGCTCATCTGTACGAATTCCCAACCCCGTAGCTCCAACTTTGCAAAAAAATCGACAAAATTGATAAAAGTGGTGAATATTTCTGGAAACTAGTATTGTATTAGGGAGCTTCCAGACCGCGCTGGTTGCTGCTTTTGCAGCCCTTAGCCGCTTCCGCGCCGGTTGCCGCTCTTGCAGCCGAAGCGCAGTGGGTTAGATCTTGTCGTGGGGAGCGTAGATGGTACTAATTCGCATTAAGATAATTTCTTCCTTTTTGATCGTCTTATCGCTATTGTTTCGTTTTGAGGGTTCTCTTCTATGATGAAGTAGACAATTCTATTACAGGTGTGGTTTATTTGATGTGGGTACGATTTTTTCGCTGTTCGCTACGACATTGCAAAGCGGTTTCGTCCTAGTCATAATGAAAATGACAAGCATCTTCACAAAACCTTGAATTTCAATTAAGCTCATATTGACGATAATGATATGCTGGGTGAGTGGTATCGTTACAAAACGCGTTTCTGAAGCTGTTTTGATGTTGTTGAAGGATATCATGTGGAAAGAGTATTCGATGTACTTTTTTGCTTTGGGTTCATGCTGGTTGAAAGAAATCTTTTAAAACAAAGTCATTTGGATGAGATTTCTTTCATTCTGAGGAACGTCTGTAGTGAAAGTGCAAAAACATCTTAACACTGCTCATTCAACAAGTAAGCGAGCCTCAAGACGAAAGTGACATTAAAAAGCTCCGATTCTCAATGATTCGTTTGTTGAGCATAGTAAAACAGGACCGAAACCAAAGATAGTACATCTTTCGTTCTACAACGACACCGCTCCTATAGCACATTAAAACAGCTTCAGACACAAAGAAAGCACAAAACAACATTTCGCAACATATCGCTCACCCAGCATAGCATTATCGTCCGAATGAAAAGAAAAATTGAAAAAACATCTTTTTGCAGATATGCAGCTCAAACTAGATAGTAGCGTAGCTTCAAAACTGAAAATAAGTTCAAGTGTAACGGGGGTTGTCTAGTGGTATTGGCGGTTTGAACCGGATCGATCAATAAGGACACGGTTAGAATAAAGATATTTATCTTTATGGCAACAACGAACAACAACAACTTAAACAACTTGAACAACTTGAACACTAAACAATGACTATGGGTCCTTCTGACCCGCTTTGGCCCTATCAGCAGGGTATTCTAGCTTTCTTCTATCTAAGGGGGGAGGTCCGCCTCTCTTCGACGGCTCGTTTAAACTCCCTGGAGCGCTCTCTTCACGCTCTGCCTGCTCCCCCCTATCCACCGGTATCTATAGCCTGCTGAAGGGGTCAGCGCGGGCTTTTCTTCCCGCCACTGGAGATCGGTAGGTCGGTGATCCGCGCCATCCAACATCCCTCCCCTCCGGGGAGCCGACGTCCTCGACGGCTGCTGCAACTTGCTGAGCTTTGCGCCGGGAACTCTCCTGCGGATGACGTTGTAGAGGTGTCGCGCATATCCGTCCCTGAAATGCGTGTCGTATACCTGAAAAGAATTTTGGGGTCCATCTGCTCCCATGGTCACTCTCCTATTTTCTGTCCTTGAGGGAGCCAATGTGAACAACTGATTTGGGTTTGCCCATTTTTCCAGTACTGATTCAATCACCGACCACACTTTTGACTTCGTTTTCCACAAACCACTCTTCTTAAACGGTAGTGGCGGCCACACGGATACAATCTTCCCTCCTTCTTTGAGGTACCTCTTGCATATCCGCAATGTCTCTATGATAGCCTCATCCTCCCTTCTTGGGTTCACGGGCCATACTATGATCCACATACGACATGTCTTCAAGTACTTCAGTGCTTCCTTAAGTTGACTGAATGATACTGCCACCCTGGTCAGTACTCCACACTGCTTCAGCTCAACTTCCTCTGATTCTGCACATCTCGGCGCAATAAACGCAACAGAACGTTCCTTCTCAGAACTTTGTCCTTCCTCACTG